GCTACTCCTTAATTGAGAAACTTTATTTTCTTTATGGCTGTTCTCTTTATAGCTGTACCCCTAGTAGCTAGGACAAACTGGCACACAGTGAAAACTTCAAAGCATCACTTGAATTTATGAATAACTGATTAGAAAAAGGGCAATTCCCATTATTATTTTTCTCGCTTGCTTCATGTATTTCTTCAGATATTTAGTGGGCATTGCCAGGAGTGACCCCTGTGCACAGAGCTTGGAGTAAGCCCAAAACACTGCCAGGTGTGACACAAAAACAAAAACAAAAATAAAGAAAGAAATTTAGTGGGCATCTGTTTCCTTAGGAACCTATGCCCAAGCTCAGTGCCCAGAAAGCTGGCAGAGATACGGCAGTGCTAGAAATGTCTTCTTTACACCAATTTGAACTCTACCACTGTTACTGTCCAATCACCTAGTCCGGTTCTTCCAGGTACTATGCCAACAAAAAGGCTTAGCCCCTCTTCCCTCAGATATTTGAAGCCAGTGATCATATTCTCCTGAGTCTTCTCTTCCCCAGGCTAAAACAAAAGGACCCAGTGGGATTGTCTGGCTCCGGTTGGCCAACTGGGAACGGGGAAGACAGAATGTGGGCTTGGAGGGACAGAGAAGATCCAGGAGCAGAGTGACTCCTTCAAAGAAGAGTGTCCTTCGGGAGGACTCCATGGAATCAGGCTGGGGCGGGGGCCTGGGGCCCTGCTAATTAAAGTAGGAGATTACGTTTCCGTACAACAGTGGCTCACTGGGAATTACTCTAAAACCTGAGAAAATCATGACTGCTAAAGCAAGCTCAAAGTTGGAAGGTTCAGCATGCTGCAATGAGAGGGCGGCCAAGCACAAGAGGATGTGCAAGTCCGCCCACCGGCCTCAGGACAAATCCCTGTTGGGGCAGGGACAGCTGACAAGTGCTGCTTCCTACGGCCCAAACAAATCCGGTGGCTGCCCACACGAAAGTCAAGAAGTCCCTCTGGGTGCTGCCGGCACCCCTGAAAAACTACCCGGGTAATTTTCAAACAGAAGCTAAAGGGCTTCATGGCACTCCTGGGGAACTCAGCCCTAGAAAGTCTAGAAAACCCAGTGATTGGCAATAGTGCTTTAAGAGCAACCTCAAATGTTCATCCAGAAGAACCGGGTGTTTTGAGGGGGAGCCCCTGAAACACTTGTACTTCATTTGGGACCTGAATGAGAATACTAAAAATTTCCACGTTTGGGGTTTCTAATGGGGTTTCCCCAAGAAAACCACAGAATTGCCAACAGCTGCTTAAATCTGCAAAGGTCGGTGAGATGCTTGAGCTAAGCACATCTCTATACCCAAGGTGCCAGAGTAGGTAGAATGAAACCAACAGAAACTAGAAGACCACAGAACCATGCAAGCTGGAAATTTATGTTTTCTCTTCATTGCTCTCAACCATGGTGTTTCCATCAAGCTCAGGGGGGTTCCCAGGGGCAATTTTTTCCAAGTGGCTTGGCCAACCTGGGTTCTTGGATTGTCCACATTCCCAGCAGAAAGCCCCAGAATCACTCTCTCCCTGTGAGGAAGGACACACCAGACACCATTCTAGGTGACTATCTTAGAGGAGTTGTGTCTTGAGATACTCTGGGGGCAAAGTTCAGTTTCCAGAGGCAGGTCGCTCATTTATTAAAAAAGGTAGTTGCACCCTACAATTAAGGCACAAGAAGAGTTTTTGTTCTAGATCCTTTACTAGAGTTCAACCATGGCAGCTGGCTGCCATTATTCCACTTTATAGGTAGGAAAGACTGACTGACAAGAGAGAGAAACAGGTTCAGCATGTTGCCAGGTGACTCCAGGCAGGCGGCAGTGTGGCTATGAGTCTGGAACTATGAGTCTTGGGGGTATCACCTATGGTGAAGTAGGCATACCTGGGTCACGCTACCTTTTCCCACACGCACGCCATCCTCATCTATTGGAAAGATCTGAGAGGGTTATTAACAATTAAAATTAAAATTAAAAAAATAAGCCCTAGCAAAAAAGCCTACTATGACTGTGTAAAACCCTGGTACCAACTTGAGTTTTGCCAGAATCAGATTCAGAGGCTGTCCACACATCTTTGGAAACCTGCTACTGATGGCAAAAGGTACAATTCTTCCTGCAACTACAGGACCACAGCCCAGAGGGGGCAAATCCACAAGTCATGTCCTCCTTGGTCCCAGAGCATCCCTGGCTTTCCATGGCCATATGTCAAGGTCACTTTATTCCTCCTCGGACAACCTGATACTAATGGAAAGAGTATAGGCTTTGAGGTAGGCCAATCTAGACATAAATTCTCACTTCATTACAGGCTGAGGGACCCCTGGGGGTCAGCCACTTAGCTACTAGGAGTTTCACTTGTCAACTGGGAATCTACTGTAGGAGTGTGTGTGTGGAAGACAGGAAGTAGCAAGTCACTTCTGTGAAGGAAGACACCACGTCTGGCTTATGGCTAGCACCTAGCACAGCGCCTGCCTCATAGTTAGATGTGCAAATAAATTTTGTCTGCTTAAATAAAAGACCTAACACAATGCCTAACATCTAAGACGTACTCCATAAAAGCTAATTTCCTTTCCCCTTCCTACTGGGATGCTAAATTTAGAGCATTCCCTAGGGTGGGATGGCTCATAACTCCTACACTCATCGATCCCCAAGCAGAGCCTCCAGGAAGGTTAGGAGATACCACTCCAGTCGCCAGTTTGTGTGCAGCTCAAACAGGATGGCACCCGAAAAGGAAGTGGGCAGGTCACTGTTACCCAAAGGATCCCTGGTCAAATGTCTTTTACCTCCTGGCTTCAGGGAGAATGAGTGCCCAGAAATGGTTCTGATATAACTGGCTCTTCTGCACACATCCCCTCTGTTCACCAAGAGGAAGTAACATTCGGTATGTTGTCCAACGGGCTCGGATAATTCTTCGGCAAAGACACAGAAGATGGAATTTCAATCTCATGCAATCTGAAGAAGTTGCCAAGCTTTCCTGTGTCAGAAACCGCTTTCCACACACAATACCAAGTGGCTGGCAGGCCTCTGGTCTGGGTGCCGCCCTCTGCAGAGGCTGGCTGGCAGACCAGGCACCTCTCTCAGACTGCCTTTTGCTAAGAGCTGGCAACAACCACTTTGATATCATGACCACCGGCCAAAGACAATAGTCAGGCAGAGTGGGCAAATGGCCCAAGACTACTTGGAGATGCCTTAGAGGGTGTGTCTGAAGCCCTGGAATCCTGTCCCTCCTGTAATCAGCTGAACAAATATTTGCCCCCAAAGAGATTCAAAGCAGGAGGGAATAAGAGAGGTCACGGCACAAACCTACAGGAACTATTTAATCATTTATCCCCCTGGGGAGTTCATTTACAGAATGACTTTCAAGTCTGGTCAGCCTTCACTTGAGAGCCCTCCACCTTTACCTCCCCAGTCATCTGACCTCTACTGACTTGACCCCGCTGCCTCCTACAAGTTCTGGCAGCAGGGAAGACCCGATGAAGTTGCAAAGAAATGGGAAATAAGGCAGGGGGTGGAGTCCCAGGACAAACTAGCTCAGTGGTTTGAACTGAAGTGCCTGCCACGCCCTAGGCCCAGCCTACGGATAATTGCATTCCAGCCATTCCTGAGTCCATGGTGCATGGCCCCTTCCACCTCAGCTCCTTCAATAGATGACTTATTTTCTACAGCCTGTTCATTTTTTTCTGGGCCTTGAGAGAACAGAACACCTCTCATAAGCCCTGCACCTCCCATTAAAGCAGGGTGTTGAGGAGGAAATATGACTGAGTTTACTGCAGAAGAGCAAAAATTGCCTATGGTGGCCAAGGGGAAATCATCTCAACTGGTGATGGTCAGAATTCTCCCACGCTGGGAAAGAAATGAGGCTTGACTCCCTGGGCCCACTGTGTGTCTGGGACCAGTAACAACGACTACAGCAAACTTATTCTAGCAGCAGACTAAGTTTGCACTGTGTCCATGTTATCTCCAAGAATTACAAGACTCTGCAAGGCTAGGAGAACTTGCCACATCCCCCCCCCCATCCCCCGCTTGAATGAAACAGAGGTGCAGGTAAACTGGCCTTGCTTACAAGGGCACACAGCTAGTTAAGTGTCAGGGCTGGAACTTGCACCCATGTCGGTTTGTTTCTGTAGCCAGGTGCCAAGGCCCCCACAAACTGGGTTCTTGCTTTGCCAACAAACAGTGCTTGATGAAGAGGCCCCGGGGCTCTGGCCGGAAAGCAACAGGCCGAACAGCTGGAGCTCCCCAACCGACCCCAGGCAGTGAGGTGCAAAGTCCCGGGGCTTAATGTGTGACACAGCAAGGGCTCTCCACAAACAATCCAACCTTACAGAAAGTTGGTTGCACCCTCGAGAGCAGATGTGTACAGGGGCACAGGACAAGCATACTGGCCCACTGACACTACCCTGAAGCCAGAATTGCCAGGCAGCCAATTCAGCCAGCTATTCATTCCTGCCTGACCATACACTGCTTTAGTAACACAGACACCAATTCTCTGAAAGGAAGCCTGGTTTGGGGAAGACTGGATTACAGGACTGCCATCCCTGCATCCCTGGGGAGTCCAAATGGAGGGGCTTGTGGGTCACTGAAGCTCTCTACCTTCTCCAGGTGTTGCATGAATGACCCCACTTTGCATCAGGGGCCATTCTTTTCAGTGTAAGGGGAAAACAGGACCCACTTCTTGCTCGCCCTGGTTCAAAGGGACGTGAACATACAGGTTGTTCTCCTCTGCTGAGAAACTGGAACACACGTACAGAAGGGCAGGATGCCTGGTCCTTCAAGAACTAGGACCATCTACGTTTCAGAAGTTCAGCTGCTGCGGTGCATGAGGCCAGTCACATCTCTTTAGCTATCAATATATCCCCAATAATTACCCAGCACCACAAAGATATGGAGCAAGGGGGGTGTGTTCGGGGTTCGAGGGGAGGGGGTGGGGCGGGGGGAGAGGAAGAATCTCTCAAACTAGAGGCCAAAGAAAAGGAACAAAATAAGGGGGTTTGCTTACCCAGCCGCCGTTCTCCTGGATCCAAGGCTCTAGGTGGTCATTCAGGTAAGTGGCCATCCAAGTTGCAATCCGACTCACCAATACCTGCATCTCCTTGTCTACGCTCTCCACGCACAGTGCCCCACCGAAGGAGAAAAAGGCCACGATGCGACCCCAGTTCACCCCATCCCGGAAGAGTTCATTCACTACCTGCTCAAAACTCTGATATGCTGTCCCTAGGGTGATGTGGAGCTGGGACGTCAGGTCGCTGAATGCCCGCCGGTACCTTAGTTCAAACTCATCACCCGCCTCCCTCAGCGCTTGCTTCACTGCTGCCAGGGGGATCACCTCCCGGGCATCCAAACTGCTGCCGCTGTGGCCGGTGGCTCCATTCAACGCGGGGCTGTCCGCCAGGTGCCAAGATGGGTTGCCATTGATGGCACTGGGGGTCTCCATCTCCGATTCAGTCCCTTCGGAGGCCTCAGTTCTGTTCTCTTCCACATCACTAAATTGACTCCAGCTGTATCCTTTCTGGGAAAGCTTGTAGGAGAGAAAGTCAACCACCAGCTCCCGGTTACTCTGAGACATTTTTATAATAGGGATGGGCTCGACCAGTCCATTGTCCAAAACACCTGCTCACTTGCCGAGTCTGGTATCTGCTTATTGGTTCTCTTCTGTGATCCCAAGGCAAGAGAAGGTTCTGAAGGGAGAGAAAGAGCTTCAGGGGAAAAGAAAAATGATGAATATGCATGCCATTTACCCTACAACATCCCATTCCCCCTTCAGGTACCGGAACTGGTTCCTTTGTGGCTCTTTGAAAGGTCTGAGTCTAGCTTCCAAGAGCCCTTCAATGAAGTCAAATTGAAAGCACCAGCGGGCTCTGAATCATCACGACCGGCCTTCTTTTTTTTTAAAAAAAAAAAAAAAAAAGAAAGAAAAAAACCGCCTCCTCCTGGCCTCCTAAACGCCTTCTCCTCGCAAAGCCACCCCCCTCCCCAGCCATCTCCCCCCACCCCCGCAACCACCTACATTCAAAGCCGTCTCGGGCGACCGCGGGCAGGTGCAGCCCCCGGAAGATCTTTTGTATCCTGGGTCGGGAAAGGAGGTGGCAGAGGGGATGCCGGTAACTCCGCCGGCCTGCGGCGGCTGGCACAAAAAAGCAACTCCGGCTGGAGGGATCATGCGACCCGGCAGGCTGGGAGCCCAGAAGGCGACACAGGAATTACGAAGCTCGGGAGCCGGCCCCCTGGCCGGTTTCCTCTCCCATTGCCCGGATCCAGGGCGGCCGCTCCGAGCCACGGCCTCCCTGCCACCCGGGAGCCCAGCCCCCTCGCTCCTGCACGCCCCTTGGCTCTCCGCCTCCTACTGGGAGCCGGGAGGACGCTCCCGCCGGCGGCGCGGCCGCGGGCTCCGGGGCTTGTTTGTTTGTTTGCTTCGGGCGCCTTTTTTTTTTTTTTTTTTGCTAATCGCGGGACCCGCCCAGGGTGAGGCTTCCGACACCCGGGAGCCGCTTCTTTCCCGGCGGGGCTCAAGGTTTCGCCGGGGGGCGGAGGGCGGGCCTGCCGTGGGACTTCGGGACGGCCATCCCCGGGCCTTCCCGGGAGGCCGCGGGCCGGGGACACCCCAGAATCGCCGCCGCCCGCGTTCTCTGGGTCCCCCCGAGGCCCCGGCCGTGGCGCAGGCGGCCGGCCGGCTCCTCCATTCCCCTCAGCACGGACACAATGGCCGCCGGCGCCCCGCACAAAGAGGGGGTGAGGGCCGGGCCGCTCCCCGGGTCAAGGTGGGAGGGGGCGGGGGTCGAGGCCCCCCACCGCGGAGACCACGTTTGCCTGGGGACGGGCCCCGGGCGGCTGCCTGGCGCCCACGGGCGGGCTCGGGGGCCCGGGGGCTGCACCGCTCCGACGCCCCGGGCCGGTGGGCTGCGGCCTCGCGGCTTCTCCGGCGCGCCCGCCCGGGTACCCGCCGGGCCACCGCCCCGTTGCTAGGCAACCCTTCTCCCTCAGGGGCGCCCCCTAGACCTTTCTGGGAGGAGGGGTCTCGCCCCCGGCGGCCCGCCCCGGCGCAGCCAATCAGCGGGCCCGGTCGGCACGGAAGCGGGACGGCGAGGGCTCCCATTGGGCGCGGCGCCTGCCACGCACGGGCGAGGCGGGACTCTCACCTGCAAGCCCCGCGAGCCGTGGGGGGCCACATCCCCCCTTCATCGGCCAGGTGGTGTCCAGACGCGAGGGCTCTTCGTGCCGAATTCCGCGCCGCGCCCTCCGGCCGGCCTCCCCGGCGGACGGCTCGCGCCTTTCTCTTCCGAACGAGCTGGCCTCAGTTTCCCCTGAAAGAGACCGGGGGAACTTGCAAGCTCAGTCACTTCCGGTGCCGCTGCAGCGCGCGCGAGCCCGAGACGCAAAGGGAGTGCGCGCCTTGAGGACGGGCGTCAAGGCTTGGGAGGGCGCGCCCCCTTGCGACAGCGGGGGGGAATTCGGAGATGTAAAAGCTGCCCCCAACCCCAAGAGGAGGTTTTTACCTTGCCATTTCCACTCTGCTTTTCGTCCATTCCTCACTTTCATATAAAGGCGTTGCTTTGTAAGAACCTTAGAGTTTCAGTTCTTTTCCAGAGGGGTAGGTAATTCAATTGCTCTCTACCTCAGCGTGCTTAACTGTAAAATGGATGAAGCCCACTTTCCTTGGCGGAGTTACTGTGAGAATTGTTAGGAGCGAAAAATGTATGCAAATGCGTATGGCCCATACTATATGCAGCATAAATTTATTCAATATATGCTGATCGTTTGGATTGCTGAAAATAGTTAGAAACAAGATCCAGCCCTGCTTTCCTGGAGACTTAGTGGAATAGACTCAACTCAGTGCCAGAGCACTGGTCTTGCATGTGAGGCCCTGGATTCCATTAAGAAAAAGAGAGAGAAAGAGATAACTAAGAAAATGCACAAGCCAGGTAATTCTAAAGAGTGGCTAATATGAAGAAGTGATGTTGTAGAGAGGGTGAAGGGCAAGGAGCTAGTTTAGACTGGGTGATCAAAAATGCGAATGCTGGGGCCAGACCGATAGTACAGGGGGGAGGGCCTTTGCCTTGCACCTGGTTGACCCGGGTTCAATTCCCGGCATCCCATATGGTTACCTGAGCATCATCAAGAGTAATTCCTGAGTACAGAGCCAGGAATAACCCCAGCTGTAACCCAAAAAGCCACAATGAGTAAATTTTTTTTTAAAAAGCTTTAAAAATGTGCAAATGCTACCCTTTTCTCCAGTAAAGGAAAGAGGTTTTCTTTCAACAATTATGTACATTGGCCAGATATGGTCTCTTCGGTTTTGGTTTTTGTTTTGGGATCACCCCTGGAAGTGCTCAGGGCTTACTCTTGGTTCTGTGCTCAGGGATCGCTCCTGGCAGGGTTTGGGAGACCATACATGGTACTCAGGATTGAACCCAGGTTGGCTGCAGGCAGTGCAAGTGCCTTACACTCAGGCCCAGGGATGATCTCTTTGTAAAGATGACATAGAACCCAGGTCTTGAAGGGTAAGAAAAAGCCGTGGGGCCAGAGAGATAGTACATGGGGTAAGATGCTTGCCCAGAATGCAGCTGACCCTGGTTCATCTTTTCATACTGCAAATGGTCCCTAGCACCACCAGGAGTGACCCATGAGTGCAGAGTCAGGAGTAAGTCCTGAGCAGAGCAGAGCAAGGTGTCGCCCAGAAACAAACAAACAAACAAAAAACAGGGTTGGAGCTATGGCTCAGTGGCAGAGTGCATGCCCCACATGTGGGCGGCCACAAGTGTCATCCTGACACTGTAAAGACAAAAAAAAAAAAAAAAGGAAGAAATAGCCAACTTGGATCAATGAGACAGAAGGAGGGACAACTAATGCTGTGCATATTTCAGAAGCTGAAAGATGTGAGGGTGTGAGGGGAAGTAGTGCGGGAGAGTAATTCTGGCAGAAGAGGAACTGGGAAGTTGACTCATGGAAGTAAGTTGGACTTGAACGGAAACACTGAAAAGTGTTTGGGGCCAGACCCAGCAGCGCTCAGAGGCTACTCTTGGCTCCAAGCTGAGGGATTAATGTGGTGCCAAGGACCAAACCATTCCATGTGCAAATCATGCACTTAGTCTTTGATTGATTTGTAGAAAATTCGACAAGGGGAAGGAGGGAGGGGAGTGAGTTGGGATCACACTGTCCGTGCTCAGGGTATTCCTGTCTCTGTACTCATGAGTGACCCCTGATGGTTCTCTGGTGATCACAGATGGTATCAGGGATTCAAACCAGAGTTGCCAATGATGAAACAGTGTCAAGGCAAGCACCTTACCTCCTGTTCTATCTCTCCAGCCTAGTTTATGAGGGTTTTCCATTCATTTTGTTTTTAAATATATAGGGTGCAAATCTCTTTCCGACTTACTGTTTAATATCACTTTCTAAATTCGTCAATCTTTTCTTTTGTGCCATCTGTAGTCTGTGTCATACTTCAAAAGATCTTCTCCTCAATACTTAAAAACAATCATGTTGAGCCAGGGAGATAGATTAATGGTCAGGAGAGCATGGTTTTCATTCTTTGGAACCTGACTTTAACCACAGCATCACAGTACCCCAGTCCCACCCCAGACTAGCATCTAGGGAGTGGCCTTGGAGTGGCCCTAGTGGTCCCTGAGTATCCCAGGAAGTGGCCCTGGGCTTCTAGAATACTGCCTTAGGAGCCCCACCCCTCAACCACACACATAAAATGTTCCATTTAGTCTTCACATGGTTTCACTGTTGACATTTAAATCCTTGTCCCATCATAGATTTCTTTTTCTTTTTGGGTCACACTTGGCAATGCTCAGAAGTTACTCCTGGCTCTGCAATCAGGAATCACTCCTGGCGGTGCTCAGGGGACCATATGGGGTGCCAGGAATTGAACCCGGGTCAGCTGTGTGCAAGACAAATGCCCTACCTGCTATACTATCGCTTCGGCCCAATATATATATATATATATATATATGTATATATGTATATATTTTTTTGAGGGGGTGGGGTGGGACTATACCCAGTAGTGCTCAGGGATTACTCTAAGGGACTTGGGGGACCATATGGGGTGCTGGGGATTGAACCCTGGTTGGTTGTGTGCAAGATAAGAGTCCTACCTGCAATCCTTTCACTCCATCCCCCAATCATAAATTCACTTTAAGGCAATTTCTTGGTGAGGGGCTGCAGTGGGCAAGCACTGCTTAGGGTCTACTTTCGGCTCTGTGCTTGGGCCTTGCTCCTCCATGTGATGCTCAGGAGATCAGAGTTACAGGGACTGAATCAATTCACTTTGGTATAAGGTGTGAGGTAACAATTCAAAAATTTTTTACAGCCTTTGCCCCTGCCATGCTGGCGTGTTTCCTCCTTGGGGGTCCAGCCATACTCTGGATCTGGAATTCTGAATCACAAAGACTTTGGCTTCTCAAATGGGTCCTGCTTTTCAAAGGCCTTCATAATAGTAAATAGTAATAAACAATAAAGCCTTCATAATAAGATTCTGCTGGAGCGATAGCAGAGCGGTAGGGCGTTTGCCTTGCACGCAGCCAGCCCTGCTGAGCCGGGTTCGATTCCTCTGCCCCTCTCGGAGAGCCCGGCAAGCTACCGAGAGTATCTCGCCCGCGTGGCAAAGCCTGGCAAGCTACCCATGACGTATTCAATATGCCAAACACAGTAACAAGTTTCACGATGGAGACGTTACCGTGACCGTGAATAAGATTCTTATCTTTGGGCTAGTGTAGTTTCCAGAAGGTGTTTTTCTCACTACATTTTTCCAGGTCGCCCTATCTCTCTGCCTACAAGACAAGAGTATTTAGTTTGATTTCTTTCTCTGGTTGTTGGGCCACACCTGGTAAAGCTCAGGGGGTACTCCTGGCTCTGTATTCAGGAATCACTCTTAGCAGTGCTCCGGAGAACATTTGGGATGTCAGGGAATCAAACTTGGGTTGTCCATATGCGAGGCAAGTGCCTTACCCACTTCACTATCTCTCCAACCCTAATTTCTGAACTTTCTATGATGTTCTAGGAAAAGGTTTTTGTTTTATTTTATTTGTATTTAATTTTTGAGGAGGAGCCATACTTGATGGAGCACAGGGCTCAGTGCTGGGGTTACTCCAGGGAGTGTTCAGGGGACCATGGGGTGCCAGGAATTGGACTTGGGGGCTCGAGCATGCTCAGCCCATTGAGCAATTTCCCAGACCTCTCAGGAGAGGGTCTTTTTCATTTTTTTTTTTTTGCTTTTGCTTTTACTTTTGGGGTCACACTTGACGATATTCAGAGGTTATTCCTGGCTCTGCACTCAGGAATCACACCTGGCAATGCTCAGGGGACCATATGGGATGCTGGGATTTGAATCTGGGTCAGCTGCATGCAAGTCAAATGCAAACTATAGTTCCAGGCCCTCAGGGGAGGGTCTTAACATAGCATGATCTAAATTTTCTGTTGTCATTGTTTTGGGGACACACCCAGAGAAGCTCAGGGATT